ACAATTCATATGCTTGATATGAAGCTGAAGTAGTTTACTTCTGTACAGAAGGAATGAGCACTTTGAATTGGATGAAATAGTTTTGTTCTGCTGAAAGGTAACTACGTTAAAAACAAAGTTTAAGTTTGCTTCTCAGAGGTACAGTTCATACTGAAGAAAGTCTGTTGCCGAAAGACTGTCATACATATATATAGAAGCTGCTTTATATTTTTATCATTTTTAACCACCTGGGGTTCAAATTGTCCTTTTCAGCTGAAAAGTAGAACATAATCTTTGCTGCCTTCAATGTAAAATAAAATGTCTGTTGACATGCTTCAGGTACTATAGTGTGTAGTATACAAAGTGTATAAATTGGTCATATATTATACTGTCTTATATGATACAGTTAAATTAAATGGCACAGGAAAGAGTTCAAAGAGGATTTGGCTGCTTCAACTTCTCTATGAATTCAATATAATACTTAAATACCATTTTGTCATATTTTTCTTGTTTTGAAACACCACAATAAAATAACTTATGACCCATTGAAAATGATAACACCTGGTACTTACAGAACATAAATTTACGTGAGATCATTCCAAGACCTTTAAAATGTTAGGTATGGAATAGACATCATGACTGATTTATAAGTTGTGAATGTATTGCTTTCATGGAAATCAACTTATACTTTAGTTAGCAACGTGTACTCATCCATGGCACAATTTACTTGTTTCCTCTACCAGAAAACTTTTTATATCAAGAATTGATATGGCTCATTGGTTTAACTTTCACTAGTACTCCTGTCTTTTATTTTCTTTGTATAATCTGAAATCAGTTTCACTTTCTACAATGGGAAACAAATAGCTTAAAATGGCAGTAAGAACTTTTGTAATTCTTGTACTTTTAAGAGATCACGGTTTTTTATGTGACGTTTTAATATCACTTTGCAACTGTTACGAGTTTATGAAGCTACCTTTTTCCTCTATTGTGTGTAAAGAAATAACTTTCCTGTACCATCTCCTTATGGCCACTGTTGATGCCTGTGGGTATATAAGTGCACCAACATCCAATGATATAGCATTCAGTTTCAAGGAGTACATCAGAGACCATTATGACTCAAGTGGTAAGATTTTAATTACTGATGGCATTAATATACAAAATAGGTTGTGTTATTTATTAATGAAAATATCTTTTAACTGCTTACAGGCAAGTTTGTGCCTATTAGTAGGAGCATTTTGCATTGCTCTAAGTGCAGCTGTTCCATATCCTCATACACTTAAGCTGATCCCGTTAGTAGAAGACCAACAACTTGAAGAATCTGCCTTTGTTCCTAGAACAGTTCTCCCAGCCAATGATCTTCAAACTGCTGCTACAGGACATGGTATGTAGAACTATTTAGTTATTGTCTTTTATTACAACAGATGTTCAGAACTTAATCTGCTAACTGCCAAGATAAGTGCTACATATTATTCAAGAATTTCTAGGCTGTTTCATTTAAAGTCTATAACATAAGATACCTCTGTGTCCACAATATTAAACATAATGTGAAAATAACTTTTGTTGTTGTTGTTGAAAACTTTGTCCTCTTTTCTTTACCTTGTCAAATATAACTCTACTCTACTCTACTCTATGAATTCTCGCAGGCAACAGAAAACCAGCCTCTTCAACCATCAGGAAGGTCAGACCATTGCAGGCCTAGCAGTGGCTCAGTTCAGTGACAGGAAATTGGTTATGCTAGTGCACTCATATATTTTATTGTTAACACAAAAACTTTTTTCCTGTTAGGTCACTATGGAAGAGTGCAGATAAAGGTATACCGTGGACCAACAACTCATGGCCACCATGATCATTTTGCACCCCATGGATTCTGGGTTAAACAGCCAGCCGATGATTACCATCACTAGTCAAAAACAATATCTTACTCTAGCACAACCTCTTATGTTTAAAAGTAGTCACACGCATACGACTTTGTTATGTTTGTATTTTCTTTTTATACTTGTTCAAGAATTTCTTATTAAAATATTCTGAAATATATACTGGATTACTTTGCTTCATTTGTTTAACCAAGAAATGCACTTCCTGAGGTTGTTTCACAGTTGTGGCCAGATATTTCCCCCATAACAAGTAACTCATACTATTTTCATTCCACATTTTAAGTATCTGATATCATGAAACTGGCTGTATTATTATCCATTACTGTATTACTATGAACCTTATCCCTAGATTTTTCTTGCAGGAGTCCAGTGTAAAATTTTGGCTTTCTGGGTTGATTTGTGTTGAATGTTTAAATTATCCAGCATATGGGCAAACAATGGATAATTTGCAGCACTCGACATGGCTCAACCCTAACAGCCATTTACATTACCATGAATGTCACATTACAATGCAACACACTAAATAAAAATGTAAATACACATAATGTTCAATTCAACTATGTTAAAGTTTAATATTAAATAAGTTTAAATTTTAGACAAGTTTTTGTGTCCATGCGAGCAAATAAATGAAATGCTTTTAATATCTTTTTTTTAAACTCGGGTAACTCCTGGGTCACCAACATGCTCTTCTACGAGCCTTTTCTCTCTTAACTCCTTAGCAAGACTACCTTTTACATACTCATATGGTAGTACTATATCTCGTCGCCACTCTCTTACTGTGTGAGCTAAACGTCTTAAACTCACTGATCTTCCGAAAAAGGTCCCTGGAATGTAGATGACTTCTTCCTTCTCTCGGTTGCCACGAACAATTCTTCCGAAGCAACACCCACTCAAACGTTGGATCACTTGCTCCAATCCTTCGCACACATCAAACATCGAATGGCATTCTTTCATCTTGACTAATCGTCCTAATGCCACCTCCTTTACGCTGCTCCTAATATGATACTCAACAGTCGGTTTAGATCCAAAAATTATATGATAGGTTGCATCCAAAAAGCAAAATATATACATAGATCTTGTTATAATAATTTCACCTTTACCTAATAATCTCTCTTCGTTTATCAAATTTCTCAAAAGTCTAAATTGTTTAGTTTTATTACATGCTCTTCTCAGAAAATTGAAGAGCAGTTCGTCATAATCAATTACTTCCAAAAAATTACTATCAATATTAGAAAAGCCTCCCATCTCGAAGACTTCGTCACTAAACTTCAATTCTTCATCATGAAGAAGGATAACTGCCTCAACTTGCATTCTATCAGTGGTACTACCAAAAACCACTCTCCAGTAATCCTTTACATACTGTTCAACCACTCCGCTATTTTCAGATGCTCTTTGACACTCTCTCCTCCTCTTTCCTTGTGTCATTACCGCATCCTCCTCTGTCTCAGATGACTCAGACCCACTAGTGTGAGAGTCAGCTAACGTCACAACTGGTCCTTCCAAACGATGCCTCTTTGGGAAAAGTCTCCTTCTTCTTCGACGTTTCACTCGTTCCTCCTCTGTCTTCTCGGGCTCCGCGTGGTCGGTTAGTGTTCCAGATTCATCTAACCAACATGGTTCATCGTCCTGAACCTCTTTCTCACTCAAAACAAACTGGTCCAAATAAACAAAATCCGAAAATGCTAACCGTCCATTTTATATTCGTCCACCTTATATATGTCAGCCAAGCCATACTGCTCTAACACTTTCTGCATACCGGAAACCCGCTGTTTAAGCCCCTTAAAGAAATCTTGTTCAATATCTAATCTGTGATCACCAACCAAAGACAACAACGTCTTATTCAAATCGTCTGGTGTCTGAGGGAAGGGTATTTATCCTGAAATCTCTGCAAATCTTGTCCATTTATAGTTTAGAGGATTTTCCTTTTGTGGAGTATTTTCAAAGTGCGTTTTAATGCACTGATACCTTCTCTTAAAGGAGTCATAATAGAACTGTGCTTTTAAAACTCCTTTCCTTCTCTCTTCTGCGGCTCGTTCAGCACTGTTGCCGGCTGCCATTGTACCACTATTAAAATATTAAGATCTTTTGTAACCTTTTAACTGGTTACATCGACCTCAGCGTTTTACGGAACAGAACAAATACATTCATCAACTAAACACTACGCACACTTCCCTTCGAGTCCTAAATTCCAATGAAATCGTTATGTCCATTATTCGATAGTTACATTCTGCTATCGAGTATGGGTAATCGTTTAAAGTATTCGATTATCAGAGATTGTACTAGTATTCTTACAAGGACAAAAATTGAACCTTTTTATTATCAGTTAGGCGCAGTCAGGTTACATTTCACCAACATAATATTCATTTCATACCTAGCGAATATAATGAATGGATTAATTAACATTATCCCACTATAAGTCGAAATTTATCGAACATTATTTATTCATAGCACTACCGCTAATGTGCTGCGTGGAGAATTCTCGAACTACATACTTGTATTTTGGCCAGTCAGGTGGTTGGTTGTGTCCATTTTGTCTAGTGATTGGAGAGCATCTCATAATCGCAGTGATTGGTTCTGAGCAGTTCTTTTAAACGCGGGTGCTATGTGATTTAGCGCGCGAATAAAATTTATAGCATTTTGTTAATATTTTTGTTAAGCATAAATACATAGTACAACTCCCAAGATGTCTGTGTTCTTTGTGAACGCGTATGTATAAACCTGTTGTAGCAAAATGGCAGGGAACCAAGAGCTTTCTAAATATCACTTTCAAGTTGTACATTTCTTGGTTTTCTGTAATTGTATCAATGTGTGATTAGAAAATATGTTTAATTTGTGCAGTTCATTTATATTATTGTATTGGTTAGGTCTTATTATTATGTTATTGTTGGTTTTATTAAAGGGCCGACGGAGAAGTAGAAGGAGAAACATCTGTACCAGCAACAACTCCTGCTGTTACCCAGTCACAGTCAGAAGCTCAACAAGCACTAGCCACATTCTGGACAAAAGTTACTGAAGAGATTCGTAAAATTGGAACTGTTAGTACCTAAGTTTAGTTATACAGAGAGTTGGAATTGTTCTGCTATAGTACGAAAGATTTATTGAAAGAGTTCTCATTTCTTTAGCCTGGGTTTGATTAGCAGTCACTGGAGGACACATTAAGGAATGAAAATGGAGCTTAGAGAAAGACCACACTAGAGTCAGTTGAAGTGAAGTTGCAAATGCTTTTCTATTCATACGAATGCATTAAGATTCAGTATTAATGTTATACCCCAGGATGGTTTAATAGTAGTATTGATTTAATATTTTTCCACCCAAGCTAGGATTGGTTTTATTGCACGGAAATAGTACATAGATTAAAGCTTTTAACCAAAGAATTTAGAGACTTCTTTTAAGATCATTCTCTTATACATTACATGATATAAGGAGACTATTTGACAGCTAAATGTGCTTGATCAGCTGCAATGATAGAATACAGGAACATTGTACAGTGAAGTTTACTTATCTATGTTACAGGATATGCTGAAAGTGTTTGCTATTGGCTGTGATATATTATTCATGCCTTCAAAACAGATTGTGACTTACATGTGGTAGTTGTTTTCATGGTGTATGGGACACTTCAACCTGATTATTTTTTCAGAGTTTTTGTTCTTGAACAAAATGCATGGTGGAAAAGAACAGTTAATTATAGTATGGTCTAATGATTTCCGAGAATTTTTCCATTTCTCTTGCCTTTTGTTCCACAGTTTATGATTGCATTTGCTGTTTTTGTGACCATTTGTTAGCTGGATTTGAAGACACAGGCACTTCCACTTGCTAGAATAAAGAAGATCATGAAGCTTGATGATGATGTGAAGATGATAAGTGCAGAAGCACCCATGCTGTTTGCTAAAGCAGCAGAAATATTTATTCATGAATTAACGCTTCGAGCTTGGGTGCATACTGAAGATAACAAGCGGAGAACACTTCAGGTTAGCAAGATAGTGTCATTCGAAAGTTTCTTGACAGTGCTGCAGTAGCACTATTTTGATACTGTGGTAGGATATTCTGGATTAACATTTTTTTTATTTCAAATAACAGACAATGGATAATGTCCTAACAGAGTGTCATAATAATGTTATTAATTATAGTATACTGGAGTATAATGTTGTTCCACCTGTTTAGTAAATTGCTGTTATGACTTATCCCTGTTCAAATTGAATTAGATGATGAACTGAGGAGTACTTACCACATATCGCAAGGTCCTGCATTGTCTTTGGATATTTTATATTTTCTTTCTCACCTTATATATACATGCTGCTGAAGACGTTTAACTTGGATGTGTTCTGTTGACACATTTTATTTTCCTTTTATACATATACTTTAGTTCTTGTTTATACATATTAATGTAACATCAGAACAAATGCATTTATTATAAAGTTTGCTACATATTTATTAATGGAGAAAAAATTGTCATTTGGCTGTGTGTTAGTTAATCTCCACCTGATTTTCAAAATTTGGACATCAGTAAAATATTTAATATTTAGGGAACAGTTCAGTCTATAACATACAGCATGTTTTCCTACACAGCATAACTGCACTGTCTATTAATTCTGTTGCACTCATCATATAATTGATTTCTTAACTTTCAGCGAAATGATATAGCAATGGCAATCACAAAATTTGACCAGTTTGATTTCTTAATTGACATTGTCCCTCGAGATGAATTAAAGCCCAACAGAGGACGTGATGATGCTAGTGTTCGAACTACTTCCATGAATCCTGATCAGGTGAGGGATGTCAGATCAATGTGACACTCTTGAATTACAATAAAAAAATGAACTACTATGTCTGTCAAGTCAGTAGGAATAACATGCATGCAGTAGTTAAAGTGTGTGTAGGTTGCATGATCAAGGATTTTTTATTTCTTGAACAGTCCCCCATTCTATTCTCACCCCCCTCTCAAAGTGAATTGAGGAGGTGTTGGCCTGTGTGTGTTTTTTTTAATAAGTGGTGTTCAGGTAATATTATTTGTTAGCGTTCCAGTAATATTTTGTTTTGTGTTAGGTCCACTATTATTTTCAACTGGCTCAACAGCATCAAGCTGCTTTGCAACAAACAGCCCAACAGTCAAGTTCAGGTACCCAGACAGCAGCTGCAGTACCAACAATTCAAATAGTGCAGCCTGCAACTGGACAAGTGCAGACTGTCAGTGTTGCCAATCCAGCAGTTGAACAGGTATCTAAAATATCCTGGAGGTATATTGTATTTACTGTAATAGAAGACAACTCTGACTCTAAAGTAACCCCTATACAGAAACATTTATTTTATATATTACCTTTATACAATTATTAAACATCTGTCTTTTTGTATTGTTTTTTGTTCATGTGTACATAATCTACTTTTTACAGCTTCAGTGATACTTGAGGCAAACTTGTGGTCATTAATGGTTCCTAACCTTGAAATATATTTCTGTCCTTCTTGCGTGCTATGCTTATAGCACAGTATTTTGTAAATGTTAGCATTTATAGTCGGCGCAGTAGTTTTTGGCCGGTGGAATTTTCAAGGGGAAGGCTAGGAAAGAGTCACTTGTGTGGTAGTATAATGCTGACTGCACCGAGGAGCTTATCAGACTGAACGCCGAAACAAAAGAAATACACTGATCTTGCCACCTCAGGTACACAGACTAGGCCCGTCCGCCAGCTTCTCTACCAGCAAAAAACTACTGTGCCGACTATACCACATCGTAACAACATCAAACTGGTTAGGACATGTAAAATCATATTTTAAATTTAGATTCAGAATGACCCTATTGTTTTTTTAAAATTGAAATATGGGTTCATTAGTTTAGAATCCTAGCTTTGATGTGGAAAAGTTTCAACATAGTTTTCCATATTGAATGTCTCTTAAACTCATTGCATGAGTTGGCATAACACAGTGTAACTCAGGCATCTAGCAGTTGCAGTGTTGCCAATGGAAGTATGGTAAAAACTCCATTATTGGAACTATTTTATAATAAAAGTCTCCACATAACAAAGAAATTATCAAATTGACATGATAGCACTTGAAACTCACACGTGGGAGGCGCCTGGTTCAAATCCTTTGGAAATTAGCTATCATGACTTGTTTTTCTGTGGGATTTCCTTAGTCACTCTAGTCATATGCCTGGTTAGGTCCTTAAAATAGGCCACAGTTTGAAACAATTTAAACTGAATTGTAATAGTTAAGTTTAAATTCCTTTATATTATGGCTTGAATAATAATTTAGTTTTGTACCATCACCACTCATACCCTTGCCATTTCATCTTTCACAACCATCCTGCTATATGATTTGATGCTACATAGCATCAGTACTTCATACAGCATTGTAAAAGAAAGTCAAATAATCAACCAACAAAGAAGTTCCTAAACTGTGGCAAGATTCAGTACAGTACATTAATGTTATCACCACGTAGTCCAAAATGTTTGTTCTCCTGAATT